CGCTGTTCACTAATCTCTCTATCTTGGGTGTCACGCAATTTTGCAAATTCTTTTTCCCTCTCAGGTCAAACCCTAGTGAGGTTATTTCTTTTTTTTCTTTTTCTTTTTCTTTTTTTGTAAAAACTTGAAGAACCGTCAAAAAATTTTTTTTCCTCTATTGGCTTGGTCATGAGTAAACTTTATATTTCCTTTTATTTATGCTTGACTGGTTTGCCTCTGGTGCTTAGCTTTGAGGTGGGGCCCACTGGGGCCAGGATAGAAATTTACGGAAAGGGTGGAGCATGTAAATACTAGCCCTGCATTTTAAGGATATCGACGAGAGAGCCCGTTAAAGTAATGCTGGGATAAATATTTATAAAGGAAAGGAAATAAAAAATGAATAAAAGGTTTTTTTTTTAAGAAATGATATATATATTTTATTTAAATAATTAAAATTAATAAAAATAATTAATACTTATTATTTGAATAAATAATGAAAAAAATATTCATTATAGTAATTTTTTTAATCATAATTTTTTATTATTTATGATTTTAAAATATATTTAGATTATAATATGTTTACTATTTTATATAATTTTACAATTATTATTATATTAATGATTTTTAATTAAGTAAAATAAAAATATATTTTATAAACATGTATTGTCATATTTTTTTATAATTGTTAAAATTTCAACGTATTATCACTTTAATGATATATTTATATAAAAGTTATTAAATATAAAAAATACAATCATATAAAAATATTACATATCATAAATCTAAAAAATATATCTATTTATATTCAATTCTTTATCAAAATTAAATCATCAAAAAATTATAAAATAATTTTATATTAGAAGAGACATGTAAAACTTATTTAAAAAAGAAATCACTTTGAAAAAATTATAAAAAGATTGTGATGTGGTTAAATTTTTTTTATTAAGTTTTTAATATTAATAAAAGAATAAATATAATAATCTTTTTATAAAAATAAAAAATTTTAACTTTCTTTTCTTTAATTTTTTTCCTAAATTGAGTATTAAAAAAATTAAAATTATTAAATATTTATTTTTTAAATTAAAAATTTATCCAAACATATGTTCAATCGGCAAGCGTAGGACTTCTTCCTTGTACAAATAATTTTTGAAAAAAATCAAACAAATATTCTAGTATTAAAATTAATAATAATAAATCGATTACTAAGATAAAATAATTTAATTTAAAATAGAGAAAAGAGATTAAATTTGGAAGGGTTGTTGGAGGGTATATGATGCCACCTGTTACTGGTGGTGGTGGGTCTGGCTTTTGTTTAGAAGGTTTCAAGTGGGGCCCTTCTCACTGAAGGCAAATAAATGTGGATCAAAATTAAATTTGGAAAATTAGAGATTTGTGAGGGATTAATTTGGAAGAAAGTAAAAAATCTTGGCAACCGTTGACTTTGAGCCTGATACAGATAATTACAATCAAATATATATAAAAAAAAAACACTTTTTTACGATAATATTGCTAAGTTATGTTCACAATTACTTGCCAAAAAAAACGTAAATAAGATTTGTTTAGGATAATATTTAGTAATTCACATCCTAATTTTAGTTATTTTAGTTATCAAATTTTAAATATAAAAAATAGTTTATATTTGGTATATTATTAATATATAAAATTTATATTTTATTAATAAGTAAATATCATTTTTAAAATAAATATATATAAATTAATATTTTTTAAAAAATTTATTCATTAATAATATAATATCATCAAATTTACTGATATTATAATATATAATAATAATACATTAAATATAAATTTTATAAAAAAATTATATTATTTGATTTATATGTCTTCTTCTCGTTAAAAAAAGGTGTATAACAGAAAATATAAGATAGCAAACATAAATTTTCAATTAAAATCGCACTTGAAAAATTACATTATTATACACTAATTACTTGCATTGAGTCAACTTTTTCAATATTTATGCAAGTAACAAACACATCGCTTCAACATACATTTTTTTATTAAAAAAATTTACATTAAGTTTTTTAAGTAAAATTTATGAAATTTGATATTAAAAACAATTAAACAAAAATTAAAATCAAAAATAAAATTAATAAATTAAAATTTTTTATTACATAGATTAAGTATGTAAATTTTTTAAAAAATTGATATATACTTTTAAAATATTTTTTATAAAAATATTGATATAATTTTATCATTGAATAAGTATCATTCAATTTTGAAATATAAACAAAATTTAAAATTTTTTTTACATATTATTAATTTTTATATTAAATTCTATCAATTTATCAATTTGAATTTTTTATTAAAGTTTTTATTAAATTATTTTTAAGAATAAATTTCACAAACTTTACTTAAAAAACTTGATGTAAGTTTTATCCTTATTCTTCAAATACAAAATTTGTTAGAAAATATGCAATTAGATACTAATCATTTTATTATTATTATTATTATTATTATTATTATTATTATTATTATTATTGAATATGAACTATTTTTTCATTTTATTAAGAAATATGTACCCCGAAACTAAAATGAGATATAGAAAAAGCACTTTGAACATTAAATTTCATGCAAGCAATTAGAATTTGGAAACTTCTACTTCTAAGGTTAGTTCTTCTTATTGTGAACTTTAATTTTATTTGCAAACTAAAGTTTCATCACTCACACCTAATGAAGAGGAGACTCTTGACCTTTCAATCCAGTGAAAAAAAAAAAAAAGAAAAAAAAAAAGAACCAAACTACATGCAATACTTTACGTGTATGGCACGTGATTTACTAGCCCCACGCATCTTTACATTTGTTTTAGAATATTTTTTAGTGAAGGTGATATAATCTATAAAAACAATTGAAGTTGTGTGTAGCTTAGAATTATTGATGAAATTATATGTATCATAAAAAATATTAGAGGGATAATTTAGTTATTAACGAAAATAATGATCAAAATTGGAGCTAATACTATCAAAATGTATATATTACTAAAATATTGGTTAAATAAAGAAGTTAGAGCACAACGTAAATCATATTATATAAATTAATCATTCTATTTCTTAAATATTATGATAGTAAAATTCAATATATTTATTTATCATATTATATTATCTTTTCGGATAAGCATTTGCCTACTTAGATAATCTATGTATTATTTTTTATTTTATTTATATCATATGTTATTTTACAAAGTATAAATATTAATGAATTGTGCATGACCTGAACTGATATAAAAAACAATGTCGCGTCTAAACCAACAAGACCAATACGAGTTACAATCATGTGTCATATTGGTCACGCCTTTAATTTTTATAGATTATATCAGCATGATTTATTGAAAAATAATATTAAATTGATATAACCTATGTTAATTTTTTTATGAAATTTTTTATTTACCTTTTACCTCATCTATTATAAAATTTATTTAATTAAATAAAATATTACATACATAAATTATTTTAAATTTATAATCTTTAAATATTAACTCCAACAACATAATAGCCAAAATCTGGACTAATTTTAAATGTTCTTAGTATACTGCACAAACACATTTGAGAACCCTACTAAACGCAAGGCGGGGGTTGCTTTCCATCCAATTATAATACACCATGTGTCCAAAGGTAGGGGTTGCTGTTCTTTCTCAATTTATTCCTTTTATTTTTCTATTTTCAAATTAGGAATCGTATTAGTACTAAACTAATAATCGAATGGAATGAAAGATTATTAATTTATATTATATAATTTAACATCTAATTAATCTAAAAAAATAATTGCATATAAATTGATCAACGACTCCATGGAAACAAAAATGTACGAGCAAAGTAATCGTCATAACATATATAAAAATACCGATATAGCAAAATGTTTTGATTTTGAAAAATTCTTAATATTAAGCTATTGATAATTCCATTGCAACAGATTTAGCAGTGAATAATTGTTCGATTCAGTAAAAAATTTAATAATCAAATTAATTGATTTTTATTCAAAAAATAATTAAATTGATCAAAATTTTTTAATTAATTAATCAAAATTGATTCGGTTTGGTCAATTCAATCAAATAATTAAAATTTTTATCAAAATTGTATTTTATTATAAGTAAGAATTTAATTATAACTTCAATTAAATAAAATTCAAATTAAAATATTATTCAAACTAAATTATTAAAAAATTTAATACTTTGAATAACATGACAAATAAATAAATAAAATTATTCATATTAAATTTTTTATTTTTATTTATTAAAAATTAATTAATTTGATCAATTCAATTATTAATTTTAAAAATAAAAATTAATTAATTTAATTAATCTAAAAAATTAACTATAACTAAAATTAATTATTTTCATCAAATTTAATTAATTAAATCGATTTGAACGAATTTATGCTAAAACCTTTACGGAATTAATAAATAAAATCGAATTAATTATTTTCATCAATTTTAATTCATTAAATCGATTTGAACGAGTTTATGCTAACCCCTTTACGGAATATGTTATGCAAAAACTGTCTAAGTTCTGATCTGGATCTTTATCGCTGTGGGGGCGGGGCCTTGCTATACGCACGCAACGCACGGTGTCCCACTCCGCACGCAAACTTAACAAACATTGATTTCCCTTCTGCATGGATAACGAGAGGATATATTTAACTGTCGAATATTTTGGCGTATTAGAATTGATATTTAAAAATTATAAATTTTAAAAAAATAAAAAATATAATATTTTATTTAATTATATATATAATATAATAAAAAATTTAAAAGTAAATTAATAACTAAATATATTTTTTATAAAAAATTAAACAATAAATAAATTATTTAGTTTTTCAAATCAAAATAAAATATATTATATTTAATAATATTAAATAAATAATAAAATCATACATTCAAAATAATCTTAACAAATAACTGTTAATAAAATTTAAATCTAAAATTTTTCGTAAAAAAAATAAATTTAACCTATTAAACTTACTTGATGTTAATAATATATATATATATATTTATCACTATGAAGACGCTATTTTACCTGCCACAGCCGGTAATCCCACCCTCTTCAATTCTACATCAATCACCGGCTCCTCCGGTTTCATCATCCTTTACCATCACCGAGCTTCCTCCAGATATATAAATGCTCCCTCCCAAATTTGTCTGTGCACTTTTCGAGGGCAGTTAACGCAACCTGATCGGGAACGTCATCGTATCTATCTCCGACTGATCTCATACTCGTATCTCTAGATCTCTTTCCGTGAGTATTCGCCCTTAAGTTATCAATTTATTTGTTTCTTTTAAATTTGACAAAATCAGAACCGTTGATTATCGATCCTCATTTATTTATCTGTTGATGATTAGTCTTCTTTTGTTATCTTGACTGGTGATGCTTGATCGTTTCTCATAAATCGTCGGATTTCCATGCTACGGTTGATATGGTTTCCTGATTTTTTTTTTTTTTCGTTGAAATTAACATTAATTCTTTTGATAAATTTCTCATGTTCGTTATTTAAGGATTGTTTTCGTTGATCCTAGTTAGATTGATTGAATTTTTGGTTGAGACTTGAGATTAAGTCGGTGGAATTTATTTAATTTTTTTTTCATTTAGATGGAAAAATTTTTTGGAACTGTTAATATATATGTCTTAAGTATATAACATGATATTGGGGTTTGGTTGAGCCGATCGACCTGCTTGTGCTGGAAAAGTGTCTCGGATAGGATGATTTTTTATTTTTGGTCGCTGTTTCTTGGATGGTGTTTCTGTAAATTTTTGGTGCGAGGGAAATATAATTCGGTAAATACTTTATATTCTCTTTGATTGAGGAAAATAGGTGACTTAAAATGTTATTTTCGTATTATTTCTTAGTCAAACTTGGGTCTGTTTCTGTTAATAAACATGGAATTGATTTCAGAATTGTTAATTTGTGGTTTTATAGTTTCTTTTCTTTGGTTGCTATTTCTTAATGCACTGTTTTTATATAGATTCCCCCTCCCCCCCAAGGAAAACAAAATGTCAGTGGAATCCTTTATTTTCTTTTCTGTTTGTTAAAGTAATTAGTATTATGCACGTGAATTCTAGGAAGCCTTAAGAAGTCCTGAGGATGGCGGATAATGAGGAGAGAGAAGAAAATACGCCACGTGGGAATGAATGGGAAGTTGTGTCCCTTACTGCATCTGCATATGCTGCTGCTCCTGGTCCAAAAGAAGTTGAAACGAAGGATGATAACAAAGGTGATTCATACAAAGCGGAGGTAGCAGAAACTTCTCGTGCTTTGTTCGTGTCCAGTCACTTTGTCTTTCCTCCCAAAGAGCATGAGAATTTGCCCCTGGAACCTTTGGAACCTGATAATAGTAGTGAACATGTAGGCAAGGACGTGATTGGTGAATCAGGTGTAGAAAAAGGTGGTAGATCTAGGACAAAGGAAGAAGAAGATTGGATTTTGAAAGGGTTCAATGTACATGATGAGTTTCCAGGTATGCAATTTTTTGATAAAAAGCATGGTACAGAGTTTGAAGAAGGCACAACGCTGCCAGGGCTGGGTTTGATTGACAAAGATCAGAGTTTGTTTGGAGCTGCTACGTTTAGTTCTTTCCATAGTGAGGAAGCACTTGGTGGATCAACCACCTTTGGTGAGGATGCAACTTTTTCTGAACTTATTGAAGCTTCTAATCAAGGCTTAAGTTTTCCTGCAGACATTCCTCAGTCCCCAAAGCCTTTACAAGATGATAAATATGATGGCTCTGACCTCCCTTGTGAAGCTTGGTGGAAGAGAAGAGCAGTTTCTTTGTATGCTCATGCAAAAGAGGCAAATGCATTCTGGTCCATTTTTATTGCAGCGGCTGTGATGGGCCTTGTGGTTCTGGGGCAGCGGTGGCAACAAGAGAGGTGGCAGGCATTGCAACTTAAATGGCAGCTCAGCATCAGCAATGAGGTATCTTGCTTGCTAATTGATCCCTTAAGATTTAACAGTGATGCATATTTTTACTTTTCTTTCCATCCTGTAAACCATATACTTTGTGCTGGAAGAGGTTTTGAAAGGACAGGTGCTATGTTTTTGTCTAGTGTTTTCATATTTGCATGTGCAGCTCTTGGCCAATATCTTTGTGTTTGTAAACACCGATTTGCATGGAGACTTCTGAATTGATAGGAATTGTTTTAGTAAAGATGATTGTGTAACCTTTTGCAAAAGGAAAAACCTATTTGTTGGTTAGACTGAGTAGGGAGAAAATTAAGAAAGGAAGCAAGATCGTGTCGTCTGTATCTGTTGATTGCAAGGGCTTGTATGTTAATATTAATTGGTTTAGAAAAGATGACGTTTGCCAACGTTTGTTGTACTGTGCTATTTTAGACTTAAACTGTACCTGTATTTGGATAGTATGCTGCCTTCTTAATTCTGCTTTACTTTGCTGTCTTTCCTCTTCTCCTCTTTCTCACCTACCTGATTGTCTCTTTGGATATTGACGTTGTTATAACCTTTTGAGTTTTGACAGAAGACTAGTCGGGTGCTGGGTTCCATTTCTCGCCTTAAAGACATGATTGTTGGTGGCCAACGCCGAGGTACTTTTGTCAGGGGCAGCTCCCTTAGTGACAGTTAAAACTTGAGATGATGACGAAAAAGCATAGTGAGAGAGTGAGATGGAGATTGGTTTGGGAGTTAATATGTTAGTTTGCTGTTTGATTAACTTGTTTGTCTTGTCTCTTAGGAAACGCTACATAGCTGAATGTTGAAAGTTAATGTTATTTGTGTTTATATTGTTGCCATTGTTTGCTATTGAAGGGATGACAGTTCTTGCATCCCACTTTTACCATTGAAACTTTCATGTGCAAATCTCAGGTTGTAAAGTTGGAATCACACCCCAACTTGAGGGGGCCCCTTTGGCCACTGTGGCCACTATGATGCATCATTCATGAGGAATAAACGCGGAGAAAATTAGACGATAGATTTTCGTTTTCTTTTCTGTTCATTTCTTCTAATTGTAGATGGATGTGGTTGTTACAGATGGATTGGTTGCTCTGAGGGTGCTGCCATGAGTTGGGAAAGGAGATTTTAAAAATCAACAGTAATTATTTTAAAGCTGTATGTTGATAGTTTTGAAGTTTCAATTTTCATCCAAGATTCATATCTTAGTAATATCATATTAGTTAGAGAGTAGAGAGAGAGGGGGAGGGTGGAAAAGAGGAGATCAAAAGGAAAATATTGGGCCTTGTAAGCTGAAACAGATGGAGAACAAAGAAAAATAAAAATTAATTACACTTTAACGTCATGAATGATCTTAAATTATATAGTTAGTTTTAAACGGTGACAAACAATTCATTAAATATCATATTAGTTAATAAATTAATAGTTTAAATGTCACATTAAAAATTTTTAAAGTTTAGAATCATATTAAATATTAATATAATTTAAAAGTCAGACATGAATCTATTAACAAAAAAATATCATTTTGGGATGAGGTTTTTATTTGGATTGGGTTGGGTTAAGGAAAAAAGAAGGCCTAGCACAATAAACAGATTCAAAGAGATGCTTTCATATCATCGTTTTTTTTTTCTGTATCGACTGATTGCAGAGGGCCATCTGGAAATTTGAGGGCAATAATTCTTGTTTAATGTGCTTCCGTTTTGAAGCATGGTATGTGAATATCAATTTTGTTAACTTAACGTCACCTGCACTAAATGAATGAATTGGCAATCATAGTCCATCGCAGTCTGAACTTGTAAATCAATGAATTCTGTTACATTGAATTCATTGGTGCAAAAGTTGATAGATAAAGTCTCTAGTCTTCTTGTTTTCAACGTTGCTTGTGGTTACTGTTCTCATAACATTCCAAAGCAAATAATGAAAGAATAGGTTATTAGATTGTGGTTCCCTTATTTTATTATTATTTATTTTGTTTCTCCATTTGTTGTGATGAACATTCTTGTACTCTGAACAAGTGGTTCTTAAACAACTATTATGTAATCTAAGAAAGCTTAACTTCCAAAATCAATAAAATTCTATATCCAGAAAAGGCTTTCTGATCCGAATGCGAATAATCAAATGGGCTGCCGACACCCATCATATTGATAATCAACTTTCCATGCATGTGTTTATGTTATACCGGAAATAGAAGAAAAAAAACAAATAAAAAAATAATTTTATGGACCTATAGATAGGAAATAAACCCCAAAACAAAATTTTTTTTAAAGAAAAAAAAAAAAACCAAACCCCAAAACAACAAGTAACTAAATTAATCTCAACTAAAATGTTCGTGATTTTTTGTGAGAAGTTTTCCATAAAGCAGAATGTGATGCTATCATCCAGTTGCAAAAATAATAAAATTGAGATAAAAGGTAAAAAAAACCCGAACTATGAAAGAAGTTGGCAGCAAAATGTTAAGTAAGATTAAGGAAGCTGTCACGTGAAGTATAAGGATCCTGTTGAGTAATTTAGGGATAAAAAAATTATCAATTAATTATGGGTAGTTGTATGATAATGGCGTGACTAATTTAAAAAATGAGCTATAATTATACATAGCGACAGTGGTATAAATAATTTAAGGAATGAGTTATAAATATATAAAACAATCATTTAAAGGTTATGAATGAAAATTATTGTTGAATTCTTTCTCAAATTTTTTTTCTTTTCTGGTCTCATACTTTGTTTTTTCTGATCTAATCTCTTCTCATTTTATCACTATCCATTTCATCACACGTAAATCAAACTATTGACTAATTTTGCCGTATAGGTATAGGTCAAGAAAACAAAATACTCCCAACTACATATGGTCGTCCACCTAAATTTAGCCAACCCCTTTGTCTTAAAATTTTTATGCCCTCAAATTTCCATGGAAGCCATAGTCTTCCTCTTATATTTTGAGATGTTAATTGTTTACGGATGAGAGCAGCCACCTGTTTCTGATTTCTTTTATTCATTTATCTAAACAGCCCAAATGATGAGACCAAAAACGAGGTTTACTCAAACCTGTATTGAAATTTCTAACAATCGTAAGAATATATACTTGGGGAATGGCCTAACATTCTTTATTTAGATACATATGTTGTAATTTACGGATGGCCTAAAATGTTAGTAATAATTTTTTTTTTTTATAAAGAAGGGCTTAATAGCATAATGACAAAAGAAATGATTATAATTATTATGAATTGAACTCAAAATTTATTAAATTTCATTTATTAAAATGATTATACGAATCAATTAAATTAATATTGAATTTAAAATTTTAATAATATTTAAGCTACTTATCATATGACTTTGCAAGATTAATCTAAAAAGGAAGAAAACATAGACTAATTAATTTTCATTTATTATCCCAATAATTAATTTGTTACCAACTTATTGTCACTCACATTTATTAAAAAAATAACTAAAATGCTTAATAATTAAGTGAAATTCATTGGCTTAAAAAAAAAAAAAAGTGAAATTCGGGTTTTATGATATTACCTTCATTATTGAGTTTAAAGCTTAAAAGTCGTTTAAGATATAATATAAATGTTTTGAGATAGGAGAGATTAATTTATATCAATATAAATTTTTTTTAATTTTACTATCGGTCCCCTCACCTTTCATTCATACACGTTATCTCCTTTGTTTGTTTTGTTTTGTTTTTTTTTCTCTAGTCTAACTGCAGCATGAGCCAACTGATCAGCTGAGGACAGGTCAACAATTCTGCAAAAGTATGCTACTCCCATTTTTTTTTTAATCTTTCTTCTTCTCTTAATTTTACACGAAAAAAAACAATGGTTGACTTCCATACATGAAAGCAATAGTCCATTTTCTTACCAAGCTATATATAATGTATATTATTATATTTCCTCCAAACTCGAGAGGCAAATTCCTACAGTATTAAGTGTCTTGGAGGGCACGATATCATTTGTCTTTTTCTCATATACCAGGATATGGTAGCAGATGGGCACACCTTTCTTTAACAAAGCAAACATTTAAAGGTGGAGAGTCAAACTTACATATACGATCGAGTCTCGAGAATTTGTTTTTATGTATATATACTGAATTTTTCAGGAAATGGATAGAGACGCATGGTAGCTAGAGATATAGCAGAAGGCAAAAAAAAAAAAGGAGAAGGATGAAGAAGAATGTTTAAAATAAGGCATGCAGATGCTGTCCGCAGGGAGCGTTATGTTATAAATTGCTGATGGTGGGTTGCTCACCCAACCCTTACCAAAGCCCACATGACTCAACCCATTTTCATTTAAGTCCCCAACTCCCTAAAAGCTCATCACTATTCAGTTTACTAATATATGGAACTATTAACCCTAGAAGGGACTATAAAAATACTGCGTTTATATTTGTTTGAGATTATTTGCTTTTTTTTTTTTTTTTGTAGTTTCATTGTTGTCTTGTCTTGTGTTTTTTCTTTTTCTTTTCACAGTCTTCTCCTCTCTGTCTTAGCTCCTCAACCAAACACATTTAATTCTCTTTCATTCAATGCTTGAATTGAAGACCCCTTTCCTTCCCTGCAAAATTAGGTGAAAGATCGTAAAGGAAAGAGAAAGAGAGAAAACGGGTAGAGTTAATTTTGAGGTTTGGGTATTGTAAGTAAAGGGTTATGAACCTTTTTTTTTTTTTTTAATTTAACCTTTCGACGACCTCTCAGTGCATTTATGGTGGTGCATCTGATGGTTAGACACTAAAGAGAAAGAAAAAAAATTGAAAGAGAAAAAGAGAAGACTTGGTGCAATTCAAGATAAACAGTCTGTCGTCCTTAATAATTGCTGTGTTTTTATATTTCACCTATAAATCCTCTTTCAATACTCCATTTTGTACTATCACTCTCCTCTTTTCTTCCTTTTTTTTTTTTTTTTCTTGCTGCTTCATTTCATTCTCTTTTTCAGATCTTCCTTAACCCTCCATTTTCTTTTCCTGATGAAGCAGCTTTCACGTACGTAACATACAAAACTAATGAAAATCCCTCATTTTTTCATGCAAAAATGTATCATTCAGGTTTTCAACTTTCCACATGTCTTTTCTGAATAATACCCTTTTTGAGGTAAGTTCTTTTAAACTTTCCTGAGAAAAATAAAGGTTTTTTTTTCCTCAAGAAAATTTTTGGAGTACGAGGGGTTGTTTTGTTATAGTTATACCAATGGACATATCGACTGCTTTGCTCCTTTTGGCGGCCATCACAGCTTACCTACTGTGGTTCACGTTCATCTCACGGTCTCTACGTGGTCCACGTGTCTGGCCTCTATTGGGTAGTCTTCCAGGTTTAATCGAGAACTGTGATCGTATGCATGACTGGATCTCCGACAACCTCCGCGCGTGCGGCGGAACATACCAGACCTGCATTTGTGCCATCCCTTTCTTGGCCCGGAAACAAGGTCTCGTGACGGTCACGTGCGATCCCAGGAACTTGGAGCACATCCTCAAGACCCGTTTCGACAATTACCCCAAAGGTCCCACTTGGCAAGCCGTGTTCCATGATCTGCTTGGTGAAGGCATCTTCAACTCCGATGGTGACACGTGGCTCTTCCAAAGGAGGACTGCGGCTCTGGAGTTCACCACCAGGACTCTTCGTCAAGCCATGGCTCGATGGGTCAATAGAGCCATCAAGTTCCAGTTCTGCCCCATTCTTGAGAAAGCTCAAAACAAAGGCGAACCTGTTGATCTACAAGACGTATTGCTTCCGCTCACCTTTGATAACATTTGTGGGTTAGCTTTTGGAAAGGACCCACAAACATGCGCCCAAGGGTTTCCGGAGAACCGTTTCGCTTCAGCTTTTGACCGAGCCACGGAAGCCTC